CTGAATTAGATGCCTCATTTAAAACTCTTGATAGCAATGCCAAGTTAGCTGGACTAGAAACAGATGCTGCTAATTAACCAGCTAGAGACATTAAGTCACATATGACTTAGAACAAGGACCCAGGTGCCACCAAAGCTGAGATGTCAGGGCCTCTGCAGAGTAACCTTTTAACAAGATCTTATTTGTATATGTTTCAGTTAAGGTTTTAATCTCTGATTAGAAGGGAGAAAATAAAAAAGATTTAAGTTGCCAGCCCAAGCTTTCAGCAATATAAAAAACTGAAATCTGATTTGTCTGTTGGAAAAGTAGAAAGAAGACTTGATTCAAATAAGTATTTTAGAAATTCAAAGTACAGACACAGTGTAATGAGCTGTGCTATGAGCTGAAATGCACAGACATGCCCTTGTATTTACAGCACCTGCCATCAGAAAATCTCGGTGCTCTTCAGGGGAAGGCCCTGAGAAAAATGATGACTGAAAAGAAACTGATCTAGTAAGATTTTCTCTTGCGTATTTAAAGAAAACTTTAAAAAGTCAAGTCAGCATATTCTTATTGAGAATTCACAGAGTCTGAAATTTCAAATACATTTTTATAATAACATTAGGCACTTGGTAGACATAAATCTTTTATAAAAAAATTTATTTCTCTGTTAATACAAATTCCAACATCAACAAACAATAGTCCAGTGGAAAAATACTTAGCCATTAACATTGAAAACTTTTTTTATTTAATAAATAGAACTTTGGCATTCAAAATTCTAGCTGTAAACCCTATTAAAAAGCAAAAACAAAAAAAAAACCCCTTTACAAAAAAAGAGGCAAGGATGATAGATCAGAAGGCATAAGCCAACCAGTGGCTTCACATTCTTCTTACAATAACTGTATTTCAATTAAGTCATGACCGTTGTATTTACACATGAGGTATTCCGGGTGGTTCAAAAACTGAACCTAGTTTACAAAAACCACCAGTCATAGTGACTGATTATACACTCTGCTGTGCTTTTAATGTAACCACCTAGCACCTTACTACTTCTTGTCATCACACCAATGTGATGCTGAATTTTATGTTTACATATTTAAATAACTATTTATACATATATGTACACATATACACACAAATGACTATACTCCAAAGGAGTTTCCGGCTCACTAAACAGGGAAAAGGCTGGGCTCCAAAGACATATATCTGATACCTCCCCTCATGTTTACTAAGGTATCTACCTAGTAACGAAAAACTGCTCCTTGCTTTAAAAAAAAGGGGGGAAAAAAAAATCCTAATCAAGTCTATTTACAGAAGAACAAGGTGCAATAATCATCAACATTCTTACAGCTCCCGTAAAATAGAAACGAATGCTTACTGCAGGCAAAAAGGCACAAAAGGTTCTCTCTGTATGCAGCTGTAATAGTGTTGTTAATGACTTACTGATTTGAAACTACATTCTTTATATACTCAATACTTCTTCTAAATAAGAAAAAATCCAAATATCCAAAACCTTTCCCTCTTCATGATTAAATGTAGAACATTATCATGCAGCAATTTCCACCATGACATTTTGGGGTGAAGCTAGAAATTTTATGTTTTGTGAACACTGGAAAAAAACCTGTCAAAAATGGAAACAAAATGAATTAACTTTGGCTCTGAGAGCTCTAGCTACTGGCAGTTTCAAATGACACAGTCTGAGTGAGCATGGTTATGAGAATTGCTTATTTCTGTAATTACATATCTACAGTGATAGAAAGGTGCATAAGAGAATGCCAATAATCCAAACTGAAGAAGATGTGCCTGAGCTGAACTGTGTGATGTAAAAATATAGTCCAAGTTCTCAGCTACTGTATTATTCAATGAACTATTAGTGATACTGAAAGAACATTTTCCCAATAAAGTAGCTCCTTTAAAAATGCCCTCTAAGAGAATCCTATTAATAAGTCTTGAACTATGACAGAATTAATTTATAAGCTCATTAGTGAGTCAGAAATGTACAATATCCATTTTAGCAACACTTTCCGGCTCCTGAGATTGTCTCTAACAGGCTACTGGAAGAAGTCTAATTCAGTTTAATAAATTGTCATGACCAAAAACCAAATTTCACTAAAATAAAATACTGTTAACATTAAATACTGAATCCTATTTCAAATACAAAAAGGGGCCACACTTTTTTTTTTTTTTTAAATTCAGGCATGGCTTACCTAGTCAATACTTCAGCAAAATTTCAAATAGATTTACTTTAAAACTTAGGTTAATTTTCACCTCAGACATACAATCACTGTAATAACTTCCAAGAATATCCTAGCTCAAACTAGGACAAGATACTATAGTGTTTCTATTTGCCCATCTTACCTAGTCTAACAGTAAAATCTTTGTTTTTAATGAGATACTGATATTCTTACTATTCTAACACAAAACGTTGTCTTGGGAAAGGGGAATTTTCTGAAAAATAAAAATCAAAATTAAATACTGACAAATTAGAATACTACTAGTTTTATTTCCCCCCAAATTCCCTCCAAGTCTGTCTACTTATTATCTAGGCCCCTTTACAAAACCCAGACTCTAAGAGATTACATTCTGTACTTCAAGGTTATACTTACACTATCACATCTTAAATCCCCTTTTTACGTGGAGTATACATTTTGGAAACTGAAACACATCAGCAGTAGTTAGTTAATTTTCTACTAGGTTAAATTTGTCTTAACCTCAAGATATGTGAACTAAGTCAAATTCTGTAAGTTTTAGAAAGCTAACTTATTTTTAAAAAATATAAATTACTTAATCCCAACTAAGCCGGAAAACAAAGTATCTACAGTGATCAAAACAAACCATCAAAAGTTTGTTTAAACAACAATATTAACCATAAAACCCCCAAACATATACATTTAAGAATCTAGTGACCCAAATCAGTGATTATTTGCCCATTATCACTATCATTTTAGGGTACCTTTACTTTCAAAATTATGGAGGATGGGGGTGTGGGGGAGGGGATTCTATTCAAAGAGGATGTAAAAGTGTTGTGTGCTACACTTGTGGCTTATCTATTTCAGATGCTATTACCTACTTTACTGTAAAGGGCCACTTTTACAGATCTTAATTTTTATAAGGCAGAATTCTTTGCATCAGATTTTTGGTACAAATTTACTACTCCCTGATTGTCTTCAAACCACCAACATTCAAAAACAAAAGAACACATGAGAAAGCCAAATTCTTGCTAGTGACTAAGTCCTTCCTTATTAGGTTAGGGACCTTGGGATGCAGAATCACTACAATGCACTGATTTCTTAGTGCCCAGATCCTAAGACTTAAAAGGGCAGGGAGGACTCAGGCACTGAATGGCAGGAAAAGTCTGATGTCCTTACAATGTATTATAACTGATTGTTGAAATATAACTATAAAATAACTATTGAGAGCTGTATATAAGCCAATTTCTGAACTGAATGTCTTCCTGGGTAGTTTCCTTGAAGGTCTTATCCCAAATATGCTTTCACTGCTGAAAACTTTAGGAGTGTATTTTTCTAGGAGCAGCCTTTATACCAGTATATAAGCCCGGCAAGAAAACAGACATGTGATCTGCTCTTGCCTCAAACAATATTCTCCTGCTTGATTAACATCCCTCATTCCTTCTACCTGTTATTTAGTCTTGACCTAAATGAGACCTGGGGTTGCATCAAGAGATAAATCAAAACAACTTGTAAAGGACAATGACTGCCGTAACTAAGTACATTAAAAAGAACGTACATTTAAACGCTCTGAAGGCAATGGAATATACAGTCCTTCCAAAATATCAGTTAAGACAGGGAAATACTCATTTGGAAGTTTAAATGATTATATGTCTACAAAAAGGTCAGTTGCATTTCATAGTGATATCCTGTACCCCAGAAGAAGAACTAACCTGGCCAAATTTGTATTCTATGAAGAACCCTGTTTTTAATGTACTTTACCTAACAAAAGGAACTGCAATATCACCTGGGTTTAGATTTTGTTTTATGCTAGTGATAATTCAGATATAAAGAATACAGGTTGATTTTTTTCTTGAAGTAGTTTCAACTTTAAAACAGATACAAAACTGTTAAAATGTAAACATTTGAGATTTGGATAAATAAGCTATTGTTCCAGAGTCACTTTGTTAATCTTTCTTTTACAATAATGATCTGAGGCCTTAGGTTTGCATTAATTATATATGGCTTTGTTTACATTGATATATATGTATATATGTATATATAGATGGATATAATATATAAACAAAAAGTTGTAAATAGTAAGGGACATGTTAAAATTAGTTCAGATTATGTTAAATTGCCTTGTAATACATACATTACAATGCTAACGGGAAAACCATCACATCAATATTTCACATCTCTTCAGCAATTCACAAGCACTCTGGAAAAATAGCTGACCTATCTACAGTACTAAAATCAACCCAACCCTACAACCTCACCATCTCAGCACAGGGATTGTTCAAACACAGATGGTTTCGCCTGCTGTACTACTATTTGAACACTTGCCTGCTGTGGGAACTCTTGTTCAGCCAGCCCTTGAAAACCCCAAGTACAACACAAGCTTCTCCATGAAGAAAAAAAGAAGCACAAGAATATAGTGTGTGCCTTTCTTAGAAGCTTTGCTTTGATCCTAGAAATCTTTATAATTTTGTGAACACACACACACACACACACACACAACCTACAGGATTAAAAGAAATCTTATCCCTTTATCTGAAGGGCACTCTTCACAGCTTGGTCCTACAATCAGTAGTTTGAGAATACAGAAATTTTTTTCTTATACATTTTATATTTTTCAAATGGTAATTTAATTTTTTTCCTGATTAGATAAGCCCCTTCGATACTTCCTCACATCCCAATTCCTCCCCAACAGAACAAATCCACAGAAAAAAATACTTATGTGCAAGTCGTATGTCACTTGCAAGTTTCTATCATGGCTCCTAAAAGAAATGTGAAGAACCTAGCACAGCAGCATGTAACAATGGGTCGTTATTGCTGTGGGACCAACACTGGTCACTGGGTTACACAGTTGTCTCCCATGTCCTGAGCATAGCGGTCTGATATCGTGGTCCGTAATTCATCTATGTCCCTCCGTAACTGGCATACGTCTGACAGTTTTTTAGTGAGTGTTTCTGGGCTGTGGTCATTCTCAGTCTCTTCAGCTGAACAGTTCATTGCTGTGGAAATAAAACATGGAGAAAATCTCACATTTTTTGGGAACAAAGTCATTTTAGGATTTTCAACTTATTATCATTGTAAATATAATGCTGTATACTGAATACAAGTCAGGCTCAGGTTTAAATTATGCATCACTCAATAGTAAATGCAACTTATCTACTTGGTCCTTTTAAAATTTTGCTAACTAAAATGCATGAAATTCATACAGTGATAACACACAAATTCAACAGGTTTAATGGATGACAATATTCCAAAAGTAAAAAGGAACATGCTCTAATAGCTCTCTTCAAACTCAGAGACAAAAATCTGAAAATCACTGTGTGGTGAGGGGCATTATCTTATATTTTTACAGACTGCAAAGTATTAACAATCGAGTGTGTGTGTGTGTGTGTGTGTGTGTGTGTTGGGACCCTATGATTCTAAACAACTGAATCAGGCTGATAGCTAGTTGCCCAATGGCTGAATCACTGAGCGTAAGGCCCTGAGTTAGTTAGCTTTTAATTAATTGGAGGCATAAGAGTCAGATAACTTATTATTTTAACAAACGTGAATTGAACTGTTTTACTGTTCATGATTTATGATCTGGGCACTATGTTGAGTGCTGAGGTCAGCAAAATAATGCATATAGTGGCTCATTCTTAATGATTTACATACAGTTTCATAAACGAGTAAATTCAGTCAGGTACCACAGGTGACCTACCACTACACAAAGGCTACATTAGTACAAAGAAGAGGAAAAAAACGGCCTCACTGGAGAGGGGACAGGTTCACTGAATGGGACAAGGAAGCAGAATGAACAAAGGTATACAGAAGCAGAAAACAAAACAGTCTGACAGAAATGGAGAAACGTCAAGAAAACCAGCTCTAAAATAGCAGAGCACAAATTATGAGAGGGGAGGCCCAAGAAACAAGGCTGGAGGGGCAGGTGGGAGCCACCTTTATCTCTATTCTCAGGGAGGGTGTTAGGAAATCAGAATCACAGGTTAGACAGATGGCTCTGGCAGCAATGTAAAGATGGACTGGGGTGGGGAGGGCACAAGGCTTGGCAGAGAAACCCGTCCAGAAGAAGGGCTACGAAAGAATTAAGGCAACGGTGCAGTGGAG